TTCAAAATTGAAGAGAAATTATATCTGGGGGTACGCGAACAAAAATGGTTGAATACCACTGCTCTAATCCACACATAGTCGACAAATGTTCCCTTCAGGTGTTAACCAAATTTCGCTAATCAGCAAGGACAGACGCCAATCGTTTTTGGAAGGGCTCCACCTGCCCCCCCCCCCTCTCTTAGGGGCATTCTTCGTGCACCAGGAGCAGAGACACTGCCGTCTGTCTTCATTTCTCCCGTGAACGTGCTGGCTAGTTACATCCCACGTGTGTGTTGTTTCACTGAATTATACAGCACAGCAATAAGCCGTAGTTAATTAATTCCCGCCAGCTTTCTAGTTACTGCGACACGATCAATACAAATGCAAACCGGATATGGCGCAGTGCTGCCCTCAACACGAACTCCACACAAGTGACAGTCGCTTAGCTGGTCAAGACATTCTCAGCGTTTTATGGAACCACTGGACACTGTTCTGTGCGAATTTAATTATTTCACATCGTTTTAATATTATCATATCATTTACGCTTCCAAATGGTTCGGCCCATGAGAACTGTAACTTGGAAATGCTGGAACGTCTGAGGAAAACTACAAAAAAAAACATGATCAAGATAATCGGTGTCCTGGCAGAGATCTGAACCCAGCGTTTGTGAATCCAAAGTCAGATGTGTTACCGCGTCTGCTCTATATGATGACAAATCAACAAACAAACGAAGAGAGCGAGAAACACACACGCAAAAATTAAAAACTGCAACATTTTTTAGTGATGACGAAATTCTCACGAAGCCCTCGTATGAACCGGAACGACACTAATAGCACCTTAAAATAATTATTATGATAATGTATAATGTAAATCGATCAATCGATATGGAACATCAATGATATTTTAGTATCTTAATTATAAGAAATTTTAAATATTGTGATAAGACGGATTAAAATAAATAATTGTTATAATTAAAATGATTAAAATATCATCTTATGTTCCATATCGAGCATTCGATTTACATCGATGTAAATCGAATGCTCGATATGGAACGTAAGATGATATTTTAATCATTTTAATTATCTTATCTTACTATTTTATTGTGATTTGACGGTAAACAAATATAATAATTATTTTAATTAATATCACAATATGACGCAACTATACTATCTCATAATAGAACCTTCTTACACCACCTCCAGTAAATCCCATAACAAAAACAGTGCGTTGTTAAACAGTATAAATAGGATTAACAGAGAAGCATCTGAATAAATCAAGAAGTGTAATGTGATTGTTGAATTGTAACAATGGAGTTACGTGCCGTGCAATGATTTTAAATCAACGCTTGACTTCAAAACTGAAACTTTTTTCACGAGCATCCGTCATACTAAAACCTGTTATATATTTCTCCTTTTCGCTGGACAGAAATCCCACAAAATGAAGGTTAAATGAGGCAAGAACATTTGTACTTGCAATTAAAACCGGTTCCATGCCTGGAATTAGTCGCAAATTAGATCCCTTCCAGTTAGTTTAACGGAAGCATCCGGAGAGCGAGTCGTTCTGCCAGGTTATGAAGGCAAACGGAACGTATAAAATAATCCCGCGTCTTCCCCAGGTCGAAAAAGGGACGATGTTGTGGGGGGGGGGTATCATTATTTTAATTTGATTACACAAATCCGAAGGAAGGTGGGCTTAGTTACGAGTGTTAAATTACATTAATGTCTCGGCGCGTTTGTCGTCAGGATAAATCTACGAAAAGTTTCCTGTGCTGACAGTCTTAAAATCTCT